TGATAGTGCAGAACTTAGATAGGCGGGGAAGACGGAACTGAATTCTGGGAGGAAGAAAGCAGAGTCAGAGAGATACCATGGATTCACCACCAGAGTAAGACATAATGCTGAAACTTAGCCGGTAAGCCACTGCCATGTAGCAATACACAGATTAATAGAAATTGGTGCAGGATTCTATCAATCATATTTTAAATAAATGCTGATTGGCCAGGCAGGAAGTATAGGCGGGGAAAACCAGACAGGAAGTAGAAATGATGCAATGAGAACAGGAGAATTCTGGGAAGGAGGAAGTTGATTCCTCCCACTCCTGCTCAGACTCCAAAGAAGCAAGATGTGAGCTGCCCTGCTGAGAAAGGTACTGAAACATGTGGCTAGCATAGATAAGAACAATGGGTTAAGATAAGCTACAAGAGCAAATAAGTAGTATGCGCTAATCGGCCAATCAGCTTTATAACTTATAGAGATCTCTGTGTGATTTTCTTTGGGACTTGCCAGCTGTGGGGAACTGGGCAGGGCAGAAAACCCCAACAAGCGGCCCCTTCATGTTACAAGAAATGGGTTAAACTAAGATGTAAGAGTTAGCCAATAAGAAGTTAGAACTAATGGGCCAAGCAGTGTTTTGGTTAATACAGTTTCTGTGTGGTTATTTCGGGGCTAAGCTAGCTAGGCAGCTGGGATGAACAAGCGGGCCCTCCCTCCTACACCCCCAACATCTTTTGTAAGAGTCAGATTGGTCATGGTGTCTCTTCACAGCAATGGAACAGTGACTAAGACAGCCCCTAAGGATTCTCAGTTTAGGATTCCTTGACATTCCTCCAGCAGAATGGTAGCGGTTGTGCTAAGTTAAATTTTGAAAAACAGGGCCTAATTTATTCTGCATGAAAACGTCTAGGACATTAATTGTTGGATGCCTGAAATTCTGAAAGAGCTATCCTTAGATATTCTTGTGACTTTCACAATCTGATAATTGCTATCAAGAAAAGGAAATCCTCCAGAACCGTGATTGGAGGGCACTGTACTCTTCACAAGCTCATATCCGAGCCTCCTTAACTCATTCTGCAAACATCCCAGTCCTTTAGACACCTGGCAACTCCTAGCAACCTCTCCCTAACATCTCTGCTCCCCACTAACTTCTCGATTACCACTTTTCCTGGAGACATTGTTTTTTGTCCACAGCAGCTGCCAATCCTTTGAAGACTTCACCATCCCAGGAGATAAACCTTTCTGTGGTGTTGTTGTTCTGTTTTTGTTTTTGGAGACAGGGTTCCCTGTTCAGCTGTGGCTGTTCTGGAACTCGCTCTGTAGACCAGGCTGTCCCCAAACTCAAGAGATCCGCCTGCCTCTGAGAGGTGGGATCAAAGGCGTGCGCTACCGTGGTCCTGCAGCAAAGGCATGCATCACCACCACCCTGCACTGGCCTGCCTGGATCTTAGCTCAGGGTCTTTTTGAGCTACTCATCAAAGGCAATGAGTCTCTGCCTCCACCTGTCACTCACTTTCTGATACTTCTCATATTTCTGACATTCCAGTGCCTTTCTAATAATATCAACGTAAATGTTCACACTGTTATGTTTATTGTAAAACAACTTTTGTTAAAGACCTTGAATTCTATTTCATTCTCCATCTACTAGTTCCTGGCTTCTCTTGAAATCCTGTTTAGTCTTCACTCTTACTATCCACCATATACACTTGGAAAAACTCATCAAAAACCCACATACCCATTTTCTCTGTATTTGCACTCAGCTTGGCACGGAATGCTAAAGAAAACTCAAATAACCAAATTCATTGACCCTATCATCTATCATACATTCTTCCCCCCGCCACCCGAGACAGGGTTTCTCTGTAGCTTTGGAGCCTGTCCTGGAATTAGCTCTTGCAGACCAGGCTGGCCTTGAACTCGCTGCCACTGCCTTCCAAGTGCTGGGATTAAAGGCATGCACTGCCACCACCTGGCCTACCACACATACATTTTTGATGGTCACTCTTCAAAGACCAGTCTACCCCACACTGCCCTGGAGACCATCCTTTTTGCCTCCTAAGGGTATATAGTTATGGCCTTTCTCATGATATCTCAAACTTAACAGGTTCGAAGGTCAACTCTTCTCCTGCAACAGACCTGCTTCTGCTACCCTAAATTCCTCACTGAGCTGAGCTGAGACCATTTCCCACCAGCTGTTCAGGTGAGAACTCTGGGGGTCAACCTCTAGTCTTTGCTTTCCTTCATCCTTGATGTAAACTCCTGTTCTTCAACACACTTCTTGGTCTCACTGTATTGCCCTGGCTGGTCTGGAACTTGCTATGCAAACCAGGCAGGCCATGCCTCATGGAGGTCTGCCTGCCTCTGCTGAGAGTAAAGGCAGGCGCCGCCAAGCACAGCCCCTTGAAGATATTCGGTAAGCTCCCTTCACTGACACTGGCAGACCAACTAGTCCCCTGTTTATCCTTTCTCACTGCAGATATGTATGACTTCCCCCCCATCTCAAACTCCTGGGCTCAAGTGATCCTCCTGCCTCAGGATCTGGCACTCTAAGCATGCGTCACCAGCGTAAACACTTTCTAAATGGTCAGCGGATCTTCATCTTTATCTCCACCTTTACACAACAATTCTCCACCCGAGAGTTAAGGTTTATGTCTTAAGACAGAAACTATCATAAATGCTTCTCTTCCTTAAAACATCAGTGGCTCCTTAAACTTAGAGTCGCGGCCACCTTCCTGACTGTGTGACCTATAGCCCCAAACAGCCTCCGCCTGAGTGGCCCTTATTTTCTACCGCCCAGCACCAGAACCCTCTTCTAGAAGTAGAGAAGACTGAATCACTTTTCCATACTGGGAACCGTCTCCTCATCGGAATGGTTCACTCGAGCCCATCTCCAACCTCTTTCAACCCTTGTTAAGTTCCCGGGGAGTTAAACAACTGTTTATTTTGCTTTTTTACTATTGGCTTACTACACACACAGACACACACAGACACACACACACACACACACACACACACACACACACACACACATATCCATCCATCCATCCTGCTACCATACTGCCCGGCACATACTATGTATACAATAAATATTCTTGGTTACTAAATGCATTTTTGTAAATGCCGAGGCCAAAGAAAACGTAACAAGCCTCTAGGTCAGATCTCTCTTTTCTGGGAGTCAAGGTCTGTGGGCCCCAAAGATTAAGGGATGTGTCTGTGTCAAGGCTGTCAGTGTCTTGCCTACCTCGGAATCATGGGAATAAGCTGAGCAGGCAGTAACTGTACTTCCTGATATCAGCCTGCACCTTTTCTCACAGGCCTCGCCTTTGCAGCTTTTGGTGTATCTTTATTCTCATTTTCTATATCATGTATAAACATTTTAAAATTCTGCCTTCATCTGTGTTGTGTTCCAGTGTTAAAACACAATTAGGCTCATTCAGTAGAAGTACATTTTCCACAGTACCGGCACAATAAAAGTAATTCGGATGAAGCTTCTCATTTTCATCTTCACAATTAGCTAACCATATCGCTGTTGAGACTGTCTCCTTCTCTCCCCCATCAGAAGGACTCGCTGAGAGGCAGAAGCTTCAGCACTCACTACCTCACTCACACTCCAGGCTGTCTCGTAGCTGCTCCGAGGTTGCCGAATACTCAGGTTGCCTATTTTTCCCTTCAAATAGGTTATCTTGAGTGTGGGGAGAAGTACAGTGCCAAAGAAAGAAAAAAGATCGACTAAATAAAGAAATAATAAAGAGATGGAAGGGTGGGGTGGTAGATTGGAGACTGAAGCTTGTAAGCAGTGGGGCAGGTCACTGGAACTGAAGGCTAATCAAGTCATGAGGGTGAGGTGGGACAGGAGTCTATTTCACCTACAGTGATGGAGCGATAATTAAACGTGGCACAGAAAAAGTTTTTCTATCTAAAAAAAAAAAAGGAAAGAAAAATTATCTGCCAGAATATAAAACTGGCACTAATCCTGCTCCATGGGATAGTGGTGATAATAAATGGAAACCTCCCGTCCAAAAAAAAAAAAAATCTCTTTATCTCCCTATGTTATTTTAAGAACAGGATTTTTAGGGCATAATTTTCAACAAGTTTCAGCCGAGGGTGAACACGGGACGCAGAGATAATTAAGGACACTAAAAGAACAGACCAATTACTTCTAACACAAGATGGCCTGAACACACCAGGATTACACTAGTGAGCAATAAGCAAAGCCACTGCTGGCATTATTTACCTGTTTGCCAAGCAGCGCTTCCTAACAGTGAAAAAGCGCTGCATCAACCCAAAGTGACAGGTAAAAGTAACCTGCGGGTTCTTTTCCTTTCGGGCACATCCTACCTGGGACAAGGTCTCTCCTGGCCTCCTTTCTGCTGGGCCCGACCTGAGGACTCCCCCGGGGCTCCGGGAGGACCGCGGGGAGAAGGGGGCGGAATGGGTGCCACGGGCGCCTTTCCGCACCCCTCCCACCTCCCACCTGGCCAGCCAGGCGCCCGCCGAGTCCCGGAGGAAGAATGCGGCTACACGGCGACCCCGGACGATCCTCCAGCCCCGGGCTGTCCCCCAGCCGGCTCACCTACGCGCCCTCCTCTCCGGGC